ATTACTGCCCAAATGGTAATTTATTTTGTGGTTATTTAAAGCTTTAATTACTATAATTAATTGAAAATTTAATTTTGATTATTTTCTAATTGTGTGATTAGATTGGTTTAGGAAAAATAGTAAATTTTGTATTCTTTTTTAAGCAACCTTGTTATTTAATGCTTTCTTATTCAGATTTATAGCAAGAAAATAAAATGAAAAAGATAGGAAAATAATAATTAAAAGAGAGAAAAAGAAATTTTATTTATTTTTACTAAAATTTTTTCATTTTATTATTTTAAAAATAACTTTATTTATGTACTTACTTTTTCAAAAAACACTTTTGAAAAGTCTTTCAAAAAGCTACTTTTTGTTTTAGAAACGTGGAGAGAGGCATAAATAAAATCAAAATTTTAAAAAAGATTATTTAAATAAATATATATTTATTAATGAAAAAAATTAAAATCGATGTGAAATAATGTGAGGTACCTAGGTTCATTTTCTAAAATTTTGCAATTTTTTAATTTAAAAAAATGTTTAATTTTAATTAGTAATTAAGTCAGCTTCAACCTTACCCTTTTAATTTCATTAAAATAAATTTTAAAATTATAAGAAATTGTGATATTAATACTTTCATTTTCGAAATTTAATTTTAAAAAATTATGATGATAAAAATCAATTTCAACCATTAATTTCCATAATTTATTATAAAATTAAATATTTCGTGATTATTTTAAATATATTGGGTAAATTAGTTAATTAATGAATAATTATAATTATAATTTAAAGGATATCTTATGAATTGATATATCTGTGTAAGCTAAAAATAAAAATAAAAAAAATTATAATATTTTCTAAAAAGAAAAACCTTTAGAAACGTTAATTCCTAACGGGCCTGCACTGGACCCGTTGAAATTCTTTTGGGCCGTCGAGATGTGCTTTTGGTAACTGAGCTGTCAGCCAGCAATTGGTTGGCTTTCTTTTATTTAAATTGAAAAATAAAAGATTCTCATTGACTTTTTGAACTGTTTAATATATTTCCTTCCAAAATTTCAGATCAGATTCAGATTCGAATCTTTCAACGTGTCAGAGATAGCTGAGACGGCTACGGCGTTTGTGCAAATATTTTATATTAATGGCTATTTCATTTAAAAAATGGTAATTTAAAAGCTTAATTAATGTAATTATAAACGAGGAATTCATACTTAACCGAGTAATAAAATCCAAATATCTAATAAATAAATTGGGAGTCTCAAAAGTGTAGTTAAAAGTGACTTAAGTATTGAACAAACTGTAAAATATTTTCAAGAGCTTCAAAGTAGGGGTCGAATAATGAGAGACTGTTCAAAGGTGTTGGACGATAAAAGTCCCACATCGACTAATTTAGAGACTGTTCAAAGGTGTTGGAGAGTTCTATTCGTCTAACGAAAGGCTCCATAGATATTATGAGAGGTACTTTCGAATTCCTAGATCGAAGTTGATTAGCATGTGTTGGAGATAAATTAGGATCTAGAATTGGTGAAGTAGAAGATTTAAATTATTATTTTAAAGTTTATAGCTTTTTTGATCTTGGAATTCTCCACCACTCAATTTTCAATTCTCATCGTCTTAGAAATGATCCGTTCTCGATTTCAATTCCCCATCGGAATGTCCAGAGATGCCGGCGTTAACCTCCATCTCCACCGCCACAATTTCCGCTTCCCCCCTTGTCTCACTACTGTCCGCCGCCACCCCACCGTCTCTCTGCTACGTTTCTCTCCGATAACCCCCAAATTACTTCTCAGACACCGCTTCAAGTCCAACACTAACTTCATTCCTATGGCCTCCGCCGCCAACAACCCGACAGACAACACTCACGTTGAAAATCCTGGCAGCGACGATCTCCGACCTACAACGCCGGAACAGAGAACGCTTGCCTGGCCGGAGATGGCCCTGCTCTGGATCGGCCTCGTCGTCGGCGTTCCAGCGTATTACCTCGCCGGAAGCTTAGTCGATCTTGGAATGGCGTGGTGGCAGGGGATAGCCACCGTAGTCGCCGCCAACGCTGTAACTCTAATTGCCCTAATTCTCACCGGTCATCCTGGTACGAAATACGGCATCTCCTTCCCTGTTTTTGCCCGATCGTCGTTCGGAATCCATGGCGCTCACATCCCCACGCTTCTCCGAGCTCTGATCGGCTGCGGTTGGTACGGAATTGAAACGTGGATCGCCGGCGAAGCTATATTCCTTCTACTGCCGGAAAGTATAAAAAATTCTTCATTTTCACAGGTTCTTCCGTGGCTGGGAACTTCGCCTCTGGCTTTTACTTGCTTTTTAGCCTTCTGGGTCGTTCAATTAGCAAGTGTTTGGAAGGGAATGGATGGAATTCGAAAACTCGAAACAATTTCAGCTCCGATTCTTGTTTTTCTCACAATGGGTCTCTTGATTTGGTCCTGTGTTCGAGCCGGTGGATTTGGGCATATGCTTTCTTTAAACTCCAAATTATCTTCCTCTGAATTCTGGGCTCTGTTTTTTCCTTCTCTTACTGCTAATATAAGTTTCTGGGCCACTTTGGCTTTGAATATCCCTGATTTTACTCGCTATGCCAAGTCTCAAAAGGATCAAATCATTGGCCAATTGGGGCTTCCGGTGTTCATGGGGGCGTTTACTTTCGTCGGCGTTGCTGTCACTTCCTCCACCGGAGTGATTTTCGGACATATAATTTCGAACCCAATTGATCTTCTTGGCCATATTGGGGGTTTTGCCACTAAGGTTTTGGCCATTTTTGGGATTATTTTGGCCACTGTCACCACCAATGTCGCCGCCAATGTAGTGGCGCCGGCGAATGCATTGGTCAATCTCAGCCCTTCTTATTTCACTTTTACAAGAGGGGCGCTTCTCACCGCCGTGATTGGCATTGTTTTTCAGCCGTGGAGGCTTCTGAGCTCGAGTGAGAGCTTCGTTTACACTTGGCTTGTTGGGTATTCGGCGCTGTTGGGGCCGATTGGAGGAGTGATGGTGGCAGATTACTACTTCCTTCGGAAGAGAGAACTGATTGTTGAGGATTTGTATTCTTCGAGTCCGACAGGGGCTTATTACTACTCCGGTGGGTTTAATTTGACGGCTGTGGCGGCGCTGGTGGTCGGAGTTCTGCCGGTGATTCCTGGATTCTTGGAGAAGGTGAAGATTGTGTCTAAAGTTCCTGAAGTGTTTACAGTGATTTACGGGAATGCTTGGTTTATTAGCAGCTTTATAGCCGGATTTTGCTATTGGGGTCTCTCTGTTTTGTTGAAGCGGCGAAAAGTTTCTAGCTGTCTTGGGCCACAGCTTTGAATATTTTTCATTTTTTTCATACCATATTGTATATTTATGTTACTATATCGATCGTTAAGAGTTAGCCGACTAAATCTCAAACAGGACAAGGATCCACGTAACGTCATAGTAGTTGATAGAGGTACAGAGGTCACTCCCATTGTGATCATACAATACGAGGAATAAGAAAAAATCATCGTGTAATCTTTAATACTAAATTGTTTCCGTAGATAAAATTTGTATTTTGTGCCTCGGTTGGATGATATAGAGTTGTGCCCTAGATATGATTCGTTCCATCCAATCGTTATGTGCATACTATTTGGAGGATCCTCGACCATCATTTGGTAGTGCACCTATTTTCAAAGGGTACAATAGTTGGTAGACAAAGAAGTCACTCCCACACGATTATGGTTATATGTGGACTACAAGATAATCATCAACTAATCTCAAGTAGTGAACTATCTCGTGTGACAAGGTTTGTATATGTCGTAAAGTTAGGTTATTCACAAGGTCACATGTCACCTATTTGTATATATGCATGATTAGAATCGATAGCAAGATTAATTGAACCCTAATGATTCAAATCATTGTGATATATTTTAAGGAACTAGGTCACATGACACCAATGATTTAGAAATGATCACGGAAGGTAGATGATATGAACCCAATCATCGAAATAGACCTAAATGAGTCATATTATGTAAATCTCGATTTAACGACAAGGGTGTTTTCAAGCGGTGTGGCTTTGGAATTACGTGTAAATATTCAAAACACTTGACTTAGTACACATCACAACAGGTCGAGACAAGAATAGAATGAGACAACCTTAAAAAAAACTATCAACTGACATGAACTCTCCGCTGTCTGCCGCTTCTCCACCTTCTCTCTGCTACGCTCCTCTCCGATCATCTTCAAATTAGTTATCGTATACCTCGCTTCGCTCCAATGGCCTCTGTCGCCGACCGTCCGACAGATGATGCTCAGTTCGAGAATTCCAGCAGCGAAATTCTCCGGCCGACCGGTCCGGAACAAAGAACACTTATCTGGTCTGAGATGGCCCTGCTCTGGATCGGCGTCGTCGTCGGTGTTCCAGCGTATTACCTCGCCGGAAGCTTAGTTGAACTCGGAATGGCGTGGTGGCAGGGCATCGCCACGGTCGTCGTCGCCAACGCCGTAACTATGATCGCCTTAATTCTCACCGGCCATCCTGGAACTATATACGGCATCTCCTTCCCTGTTTTACTCCGATCGTCGTTCGGAATCCACGGCGCTCACATCCCCACGCTTCTCCGAGATCTAATCAGCTGCGGTTGGTACGGAATCGACACGTGGATTGCCGGTGAAGCCATTTTTCACTTTCAAAGGTTCTTCCATGGCGGGAATTTCCCCTGTTGCTTTTGTTAGATAAAACCTGAGTTTTACCGTTTTTCTTATTCACACGATTCCAGAAAATCGTGAGTTTGACCATTTGACAAATCACGTCGAATGGATCACCATAGTTTTAGACTGAAACTTTGTAGGGAGTGGCACAGATTTAGTTGGCCATTCTCAGTCAATTTTAGAATCCTTTTTACTTTAAATAGGATATTTGTTCAGAAAATAAAACAATCCGAACGCAGTCAAATTCAGAGTTATTTTTCTCTCTCCTTTTTTGTTACGCATTTTCCCAATTTCCTCTCACGGAAATTCTGTCAAAACCAACAGCTTTTACTTGCTTTTTAGCCTTCTGGGTCGTTCAATTAGCAAGTGTTTTGAAAGGAATGGATAGAATTCGAAAACTTGAAACAATTTCAGCTCCGATTCTTGTTTTTCTCACAATGGGTCTCTTGATTTGGTCCTGTGTTCGAGCCGGTGGATTTGGACATATGCTTTCTTTAACCTCCAAATTATCTTCCTCTGAATTCTGGGCTCTGTTTTTTCCTTCCCTTACTGCTAATATAAGTTCTTGAGCCACTTTGGCTTTGAATATCACTGATTTTACTCGCTATGCCAAGTCTCAAAAGGATCAAATCATTGGCTAATTGGGGCTTCCGGTGTTCATGGGGGCGTTCACTTTCGTCGGCGTTGCTGTCACCTCCTCCACCGGCGTGATTTTTGGGCATGTAATTTCAAACCCAATTGATCTTCTTGCCCATATTGGGGGTTTTACCACTAAGGTTTTGGCGATTTTTGGGATCATTTTGGCCACTGTCACCACCAATGTCGCCGCCAATGTGGTGGCGCCGGCGAATGCGTTGGTCAATCTCAGCCCTTCTTATTTCACTTTCAACAGAGGGGCACTTCTCACCGCCGTGATTGGCATTCTTTTTCAGCCGTGGAAGCTTCCAAGCTCGAGTGAGAGCTTTGTTTACACTTGGCTTGTTGGGTATTCGGCGGTGTTGGGGCCGATTGGCTGCGTCATGGTGGCGGATTACCATTTCATTCGGAAGAGAGAACTGATAGTTGAGGATTTGTATTCTTCCAGTCCGACAGGGGTTTATTATTACTCCGGTGGGTTTAATTTGGCGGCAGTGGCGGCGCTGGTGGTCGGAGTTTTGCCGGTGATTCCTGGGTTCTTGGAGAAGGTGGAGATTTTGTCTAATGTTCCTAAAATGTTTAGGGTGATTTACGGGAATGCTTGGTTTATTAGCACCTTTTTCGCCGGATTTTTCTTTTGGGTCTCTCCAATTTGTTGAAACGACCAAAAGTTTCTAGCCATTTTGAAATTTTAGAATAAATTTTTTACTATATTTTTGTGTAAATGTACATTATTATATTATACATTAAAATTATAAAGTTAATTACGGCTGTCCAAGTGGGCCTAGGCCCATAATCATCCAACATTGAAATGGGCCAATATAGAAACCCAATGAAACTGGGCTTCATCCATGGCCTGGATAATCGAAGCAGCCCACATTGACCTCCAATTCAGTGTCCGAACGCGTGTATAAACCATCAAAGTCAACCTGATTAAATAAATTATAAGAATTGATAGATAAACCGTGGGCCCACATTTGACGTGGGAGGTAAAAACGACACCGTTGGCGATGGATAGGTAAAAGTCAACTGGAGGATGGACCAGGTATAAGGTCAACGGAGAGATCGGGTCGAAGTTAAGAGCATGAGGCTACACGGGTCAAGCCACCACCGAATCGGAATAAAACAGCCGGACTTGACCCGATCTTGGAAATTTGGCATTTCCTATATGAACCCCATATTTTCCAAACATTTTTCTTTATGCGAAGATTCTTCTAATAAAATTTTAATAATTGTAAAAAATTAACTACTTTTTTGACTTTTGACTTCTAATATCCAACTTTATCCATATACCAGACTTTTTAGATTATTTTTTAAACATGATTTTCTCGTATGTTACCAAATCAAGTTTTTTTTTTTTTTTTTTAATTATGATTCCTCAATTAATTAAACTATGTTTCGGTCGGTTAATATAACTTCTTAATCAACCGAAAAAAATGTCTCCCATGCAAATGATTCAAATCAAATAAAGCTACCAAGCTATACCAACAAAGGCGATTTGACTCGGGTTTTCGTTCGAAGGTGAAAGCAACAGAAAGACGATGAAACCATTTTTTATTGTCCGCCGACTTAATTGATCCATACATTAATTATTTTATTATCTCAAATTATTATTTTTCACATTCCAATAATAAAACACAACAATTTTCCATATACATAATCTAAGTTGAGTAAGTGAAATCATAAACTAGGGTTTGCTTGTTTTTTTGCTCTTTTTTAACTTTACCCTTGAGACCCAAAAAAAAAAAAAAAAAAAAACATATTTAATTCCCTATTCCCATTTTAGCCCTTGACAAAATATGAACACCCTCTTTGCATCTCTTCCATTATTGTACTAATATGTCAATAAATAATTTTCCTAGACTCTAAGAAGTTCTTCCTCTTAGGCTCACGAGATGTAATGTATTGAAGGAAGATGCCAAAATCAGTGTCTTTGTAACGCCTTGGATTCTCTTCATTCACAAGCTTTGGCCATGGCTTCATCGTTGACTGAAAAGGAAGGCTATGTAACGAAGCCACAGAAATTCTCGGCTCGTTTGCGTTCACTACGACTCTATGTAGAACGCTCTTGTACCTTCCATTACTAAAGATCTGCAACGTTTTTAGGGTTCAGGATTTAGGGTTTGATCATAAACGAAAGATACGAAACTAAACAAAAAAATAAACGAGCCCTACCTCGAGATGATCGCCAATGTTGACAACAAAACAATTGGGCAAAGGTTTAACATTGACCCATTTTTGTTGGTGATGAATTTGAAGCCCTTCAACTTGATCTTGAAGGAGGAGTGTGAGGAAGCCATAATCAGAGTGTGGTGGCATTCCTAGGGTTAGCTCTGGCTCAGGACATTGTGGATAACAATTAACGACCATTAGTTGACTTCCATCTTCAAACTCTTTCAATAATTCTTCTTCTTCTTTCTCCATAGCTCCCAAGCTTTCGAGAATTGCTTCGACTAGAATCAGAAACAGGCGTCGGGTTTGCTCGGCGTAGGTCGATGCCGAGTCTTTGAAGGCGGCCGGAGAAGATGGCCAATTGGAGAGAAGTTGGTGTAGATTAGGGTTGCAGGTCAGCTTCAAGAAGTCCCTCCAGTAGAAAACAGTGTCTTTGGTTTGGTTGAAGCTTGTACCATAACGTACGGTCGCATGCATGTCGGATGACATGTATTTGGCTCTTTCCTCATATGGAAGCTCGAAGAATTTTGAGCAAACTTCTCTCATGCTTGATATCACTTCGCTTGAAATTTCATGGTTTATCAACTGCACATGATATCAAATTCGCACAACGAGAGAGTAAAAAGATTAAATTTATCATAACTTATTGATCACAAACGGGTTTTCAGTTCCATGTGAGCTAATAAACTTGGCTTAGTAGAATAAGTTACTAACTTATAGAACAACTATACAAGAATCGATAGTAGTTGTCAAATTGTGGATCATATTTTGTGCTTATGGGTTAAGTTTTATGCTTTAGTTAGGAAGATTGTCAGCGATTATTATTAACTTGAGAAGGAAGTTCAGAAAGTTAGTTAATGTTTTCTCTACCATACAACCCGAACAAGAATTGAAAAGCTAAATGCTTCGTTCCAAAAAATCTCTCATTTCAAATTTTTCCTTTTACTTGTTTCGACATATTTTAATCATGAGTCAAATCCAATCTTTTGTGCTAATTCACATAGGAAAATAACAAGAGATTAAATTTATCGTAACCCAGAACCCTACCTGAAAGAAGCCATAATCTTCACCGGCTTTGGAGAGGGAACGGAGGACGTGTCGGCGGTTAGGGCCACAGAGTTGGACGAAGTCGATGACAGGAAGCTCGACAGCGCCGATCACATTAGGGTTGTCGGATTTGCAATCGCCAGGGCGGTCGGAATTGGGGAGAACATATTTGAGAGGGAGCTTATTCAATCCCTTGTCACACAAATTCTTCACACCCTTTTGGTACACTTGAGTTTCTGATACAATGGTATTCTCCATCTCAGCCGCCATTGCCGGAGACATCTTGAAAAGCAACAAAAGCTGGAAAAAGGGTTTGCTTAGAAGGGATTTGGTGAGCGTTTAGTGAAGAATTGGAGGCAAAAGCTTTACATATATATATATATATATATATATATATATAAAAGGGAAGTTCTGGGAAACCGGAAATGGTATTGGGAACGGAAGAAGTGGGTTCTAAAACCGTTGACAAAATCCAGTCAGAGACGCAGAAGCTAGAGGGAATGGTAGGGACAGGAAACTGACGCCACGGCTGCTGACAAATAGCTTCATTCATGGAGCCTAATACTTTGTCCTCATGGAATAACGCGGCTGACTTTTTCCGGCCCCAACACAAACCTAGCCTAGGCCCCACCCTCTTGTTTTCCTATTGTCCTAGCCCGGTCGACATAAACTTTCGGGAGTCTCATATTTAAGGGGATGATCATTGATTTATAAGTAAGGAATACATCTTTATTGATATAAGACATTTCGTGGAAACCAAAAATAAAATCATAGAGTTTATGTTCAAGGTAGACAGTATCATATCATTGTGGAGATTCATGGCTCCTAACATTGACGTGTTAAGTCATAGATATCAGTTTTTTCGTAGAATATAATATTACAAGTAGAAGATTCAAAATTAGACGGGTAGAAGAGTATGGTAAGGACCAGTTAATTAATATCTTTATTTCCAAAGAAAGACGAAGAATTTTGAGTACAGGAGTTAGCAAGTCTGATGGACTACTACAACGACTACAACTACAGAGTCGAGTCCTCTTTTGATGGGACCAGACTCCAACTTGTTTCTTCGAGAATAATTTGTAATATGGATCAACAATTAGGGTTCATAACTTGAAATTATTGAAGGATGCATGATCACTGATAGATTTTAGTTGAATCTATCCCGAACCTCCTATCTTTCTCCCCTTTTTGTAGTCGTTTCAATGTATTGGATCTAAACGCCAAGATAGGACCCAACGTCAACATCCATTTTGTTTTCCATTGAGTTTTTTCTTTCTCCTATCATGTGTTCTTGTTATCTTCTTCCTTTTGATATCTATAATTGCATCAAATAGGTCACGGGTTTTTAAATTATGATATCAATCAAATGATGTGCCAATATCTCTTACTCATACTATGAATATTACACTCTCAAACCATCATGAAAATTATATAAATTAATGGGTAAGATTAAATTTTTTCTAACTGAATACTCAAATTAGAAAATATCATATTATTATAGAGGATTGTGGTTCTTAACATGATATTAGAGTGTCGAACAAAAAAGTTGTGAGTCTTAAAGGTATACTCTAACAACGGGTGTACTTTGTTCGAGGGAGTCGGAGCCTCGATTCAGAAGAGACTGTTCGAGAGCTCCAAAGAAATAGGCTCGAGAGAAACTCTATGGTGTACTTTATTCGAGGAGATAATTGTTAAGGATTATTGAGAGGAGTAGTCCCACATTGACGCCTCATAGGCTTTCTAGGAAAACCGAAAACAATTATGAAGGGTCGTGGTTCCTAACATATCCTACTTTATCTATAAATTTATAGTCCGATACTTATCCAAATCATAAGATAACTTAAAAAAAAAAAAAAAAAAAAACTACAAAAAGAGAGATTGCATTAATAAAATTATTAACATTTTATAACGTGCAAGTAATATTAGTTTTTACATTAAAAAGAAATAGCTAAAATTAAAAAGTCAAAGAGTTGACCTAAAAAATCATAAACCAAAATAGCTACGTACTAGATTATAATAAAAATAATTAAGTATGATCTAATATGTAGCATGCAAACTTTAGGATATAAAATAAAAAATAAAAAATGTCCCTTTAATTATTTATTTATGTCACCAATAATGTAACCTAATTTGATATAAGTCCCATCACCCTCAAATGGCTTGTTCTCCTTTTCTTTTTTGGATTTTTTTTATTCCTCTTTACTATTTTAGTTATTATTTGTTTGTTTTTTTGCTTCTTTGTTCATTGAATTTGCACTATTTTAGCATTTATTCTTTGCTTTAATACTTTATATTATAATTCTATAAAGTTAAAAGTTATCATGATTTGTGTAACTAAAATAATTATAATATTAAATTAATATTAAGTTGATGATGATTTAACACGGTTTTGAGGATGGTGGAGCACAAAGTTTCGAACTAATTCCATTTTTAATTAATATTATTACAAATTGAATTGGTCAATCAAAATTTAGTTTTTTTTTTTTTATTATTTTTTTTTTATGGGCTTAGTTCCACCAATTAATTTTAATCTTTTATAATGATTTTATTTTAAATTTAGAAACATTGGGCCTATACTATGGACCAATTTTATATTGGGCTTTTTTATTGATTGTGGCATTGAGATGGGCCTTTTACCAACTTTGGGCCTACGATTATTGGAGGGTATTTTTGACATTCATGTAAAAATTATGTAATAAGCGTAGGCTTGTATAAAAAGAATTAAGTATATATTATTAGTATAATTTAAGTATATATTAATAGTATAAATAAAATAAGAATTATTCCCTACTTTTCTTTTTCTTAATATTACTATAATGTGTCAATTAATTATTAATTAGGTTAGATTTGATAACCAAGAGTTTTTATTTTTTTTATTTTTAATATATATAATTTATTTTCTTTAAAAATGAAGTTTTTTTTTCCTTACAATTTTGTGATAATTGTTCAAAAATGGTGAAGCCTAATGGTTAATAAATATTGTCCAATCATGCCATTTTAGTCAACAATGGACATTTTCGTAAAAATATGTGGTCCTCTTAATAAATAATTTTCCATTTAAAACAAAATAATTTTTTTGGCTGCCAAAAAAAAATTCCATAAACTTTATATCAATAATACTAATATAAAAAAAAAAATTAAATATAGGGTTTTAAAATACCTGTAAACTTTATAGAAAAAAAAATCATTAATATTTTTTTAATTTTTTAATTTAAATATTTAAAGGTAATTTTAAATATTTCTAATTAATTATATAAAAAAAAAATTAAATCTAAAATTCAAAGATATATATGATTTGTTAAATTTGTTTTTTTTAGAAGATAGGATTCATAATACATCATACATCAGTGATGTCATCTCATGTCTCGAGGTAACTCGATCATCTTGGGTTGTTCGGACACATCGGTTGGAAACTGACCCATGTGTCGATCATCTCAACGAAACATCTCGAACATCCATCCATCTGAATTCTCATTGAGCATTTGACTCTTCCGTGTCCATGCTAGACTATTCTCGACATGTTCGAAGGTGCTATATGTGAACTATATCATATTTGAATTATTAACGTTTTTAAATAATTAAAAAAATAACCTAAAATTCAACCTAACCCGATAGTAAATTTGTAAACTCTAGATTGGATCACAAATCAACAAAATTTTACCCAACACAACGCGGCTAAGTGTACACCTCTAGTTAAAAACTTGATAGCTAGGTTTTTGTTCTCTTCCCAAAACGTACGTGTGGTCCTTATAGCTCACCAATCTTCCACATCCTGATAAAGCCTAGTACCGTCGTCGTCAATCTCAAAATCAAAATGGTCGGAAAGGAAGATCCGCCGATGGGGAAAGAATCCGCCAACACCGTTGCCGGAAGCGAGAATCATAAAACAGCGAGGCTAGCCATACTAGAGCTCGCAAACATGATCAGCGTTCCGATGTCCCTCAATGCCGTCGTCCGTCTCAAAATCGCCGACGCTATCTGGCAAGGAGGTTCCAATTTTCCGCTCTCTGCTTCTGAGATCCTCGCACGCTTGGTTCCATCCGGTGGCGACGCCGATAATCTCGAGCGGATCCTCCGTATGCTCACTAGCTATGGCGTTTTCGAAGAGCATCTCAACCCTAACTCGTCGGACCGCCGGTATTCCCTCACCGACGTAGGAAAAACTCTGGTCACCGATTCCGATGGTCTCTCTTACGCGTCGTACGTGCTTCAGCATCATCAGGTCCGTGATTATTGCGTATGTCAGATTTCTGTTACAACAGATTAGTTTCGATCCTTTGGCCGTTCTGATTCTGAATTTCTAATTTCTGTGCCGTGTACAGGACGCGCTTATGAGAGCGTGGCCAAGAGTGCACGAGGCTGCGATTGACGCTACTACGGAGCCGTTTGTCAGAGCTAATGGCGAAGCAGCGTACAGTTACTACGGGAAGAATGAGGAGATGAACTTGTTAATGCAGAGAGCGATGGCCGGCGTATCAGTGCCGTTCATGAAGGCTGTATTGGACGGCTACGATGGCTTCGGAGGCGTGGAGAAATTGGTCGACGTCGGCGGCAGCGCCGGTGATTGCTTGAGGATGATCCTACAGAAACATCCTCACATTAAGGAAGGAATCAACTTCGATCTGCCGGAAGTGGTGGCTAGGGCTCCCAGCATCCCCGGTGAGCTTTTTTGTGATTAATTAACGTCTATAGCTGTGATTATGCAGCTTTCATTTTTAATTAATTAACCTGCTTAATTGTAATTATCATTACTAAATTAATTAACGTATTTTAATTATTTATTATTCGTGGTTTAAATTTAAAAAAAAAAATAGCAATTTTTCTTTTAATGAGGATGTATGTAGCGAAAAAGTGAGTAGCTGTATGCTAAACTGACAGGGGTGACTCACGTTGGAGGCGACATGTTCAAGTCCGTCCCCACCGGTGACGCTATTTTCATGAAGGTACGTGTAGCTTTTGCCTTTTTATTTTCTGTAAAAACCCTACGGATTTTAATTTCCATTTCTCGCACGTGACACTGGGCCCTCCCAGTTTCAGCTACCTACTTGAACAATAAATAATTTTGCCTCTTAAAAAATACAAATTAGTATTTATATAATTGTTACAAAATAAAATTTAAAGACTGAATTATTAAAGTTAGGGATTAAATTTCATAAAAGTTTAAGAGCCAAAAATATTTGTCAACAAAAAAAAATGTTTTTAAACCTACTATAAATGAAAATAATATTTATATAATTGAAAAATAACTATAAAAATCCAATATTGATAGAAGAAAATATATATTCCAATTTGTCAATTTAATTGAGTAACATAATAATATTAAAAAATTTGTAGGTTAAAATATTAGTTCAGTTGCCTCATTTTAAGTTCATGTGTGAAATTTAAAATGATATATTATTATTTTATTATTAACCTTTTAATTTATTTTCTATAAATTTTAAAAATATGTTTTCTTGATGTTTTTTTTTTTTTGCATGATTATTAATATCATTTAATCAATTTTGATAAAAATGACGGATTAAATTTAAGATTTATGAAAAAAAATATATGAAAACTAAATGAAAATGCAAATACCAAATTTGTATTATTCAAAGCAAAATACGTATGGACTTTGTCGGTAGGAGTTTTTTTTTTTTTTTTTAGAAATAAAAAATATTTTTAAAAAAATGGATAAGGAAGGAGAAGAAAATGAAAGGTGTAAACTGACATATCTATGTTTTCAAAAACAAAATAAAACAAATAAATATTTTCTTAAAAGAAATGAAATACTACATTTTTATTAAATGATGATTTTATTTTATATAGATTATGTTCAAATGTAAATACTGCATTTTTATTAATAAAAGTTGATTTGAAATACATGTTTTCTTCCAAATTCAAGGTGAAGATATTATTTAGATTATTATTAAAAAAAAAAAAAAAAAATCTCAATTTCAACCCAAAGGGTAATTAGGCATTTTAGAAATGTAGCAACTAAAATAGATAAAAAGTTAGGAAGGCATTCTGAAATTGGATTGTGGGCAGTGGGTTCTGTCAACATGGACGGATGATGAATGCAAGATGATATTGGAGAACTGCTGCAAGTCACTCCCGGCGGGAGGGAAACTGATCGCCTGCGAGCCGACGGTGCCTGAGAAGACGGACGACAGTCACCGGACACGTGCCCTTTTAGCCAACGACATATTCATCATGACCATTTACAGTGCGAAGAGTAAGCAGAGGACTGAGGATGAGTTCCGGCAGCTGGGCCTCTCCGTCGGCTTCTCCGGCATGCGCTCATTCCACGTGGATTACTTCTATTGTGTGTTGGAATTCCAGAAGTGAAGGCTTGGATGTTATTGCAGAGATTTTAGATTCGGCTGTTTACAATTGGCATTGGAATCTGAACAAATATTTTGATTAGTATTCAAACAATGGTGTAGTGGAAGATTGGTTGGGTTGGGTGGAGCAACCTAACACCCCTCACACACTCTGTGATTTTCTGTCTTCTTCCTCATTGTGGGTTCCAGCCATGGCCCTCCCCTTCCCGCCAGTATTCACCCATCCCCATTCTAATCATATCTTACCCACATTTCCATTTTTATTTCTGATTTTTTGTCATATTAATATCCAAATGAGTTTTTTTTTTTTTTTTTACTTGTTATTTTTTACCGTCTTATTTATATCGAGGTGAGCTGTTTTAACCGTGGTTTTTTCATTTTTGCTATATTTCCAAAAATGAGATTGATAATTAGGTCTTCTTTTTCTCATATACATGATTTTTTGGTTTGGTATATTGGGATCAATAAATTAAATTCTCATATAGTTTTTTTTTAAAAAAAATTCGGAATTACACATTCACTTTTTAATTGAGTTGAATTTCAATTTGGTCAGTAAATTTTAAAATATTACCGAATTTTGAGTTAAATTTTAAAGAAATAAATTTCAAGAATAAAAAGTTGACTTTTTTCAATTAAAAAAAAAAAAGGAGAAACAAATGAAAATGGTTATTTGTTGCGTTTTATTCTGAATATATTCACGTGATTTCCATAAATTTATTACGACTTACGATTATTTATTTATTAATTTATTTAAAATGGAGAGTCGGTTTCAATTCGGTGCACCCGAATAAACGCCAATGGCCTATTCACCCACTCTCGTAGGACCCAACTTTTCAAATATCATCCAGCCAATGGAACAGCGCCACGTATAAGAATTATTCAGCGTGTCTTACAATCACCACGTGTCAAGTAGTGTGAGCGAGTTCTGAAGTTGGGTATTCGCAACCGTTTAGGAGTGGGGAAATATTATATTTAAGAGAGAAGAAAAAAAAAAAAAAAAAAAAAAAAGAAAAAACGGATTACGGCTGTTTTCGAGATATTTGGTAAATGGTAATGGCTTCTTCACTGTATCGTCTTCTTCACCAACTATAAATTCCATATCTATTTCTCTCTCTTGCTTTTGGGATTCGCACATGAAAACGCTTTAGCGATTGTGGAAAATAATGTAACACCCTCGCAACAATGACCAGCTAGCGAACGCTCGCTTTGTCTCTTTCTCTCTTTCTCTTTCTAATCTCTATCGGCTCTCTCTCTTATTGTCTGTTGTCTTATAGTCATAGTTTTTATCATACTTTTTTCATTTTCTTTCTCTTCTTGGTAATGACGATGACGGTGAAAATGGGGAAGGGATTGGAGGAATTTCTGCGCCTGATTTGATTGAACAATTGGGTGGAAGAGAGAGAGAGAGAGAGAGAGAGAGAGAGAGGGGAAAAATGTTCAGGTTGCACAGGAACCGACAGGCGAAATCAGGGGAGAAAATTGATTTCAAGTTCTCCAACTTCAAGGCACTCCAGGTACATGTTTTAATGCTCTCTGTTTTGTTCTGATTGCATTTAGTGAAGCGTATGAGTTTGTTTTGAATTCCCCTAATTTTTTTGGGATTAGGGGATTTGATCGAGTGTGATTTGGGATCCTTGTTCTGGTAATGGTTAATGGTGTTAGATGGAAACTGTTGTGATTGATTAGAGGAATAAAATTAGAATTACGTAGAAGGATTTCTGGGTTAATGATAACGATGTAGTCACTGAATCAATACTGCCTGTGATCTGGATGAACAGTAAATGGAAGTTACTTATGTGGTCAACGTTATTAATTCTTCTTTATTGCTGTCTTGGAACGCAGCTCGGGAATTGGGTTGTCATTTTGGTGATAACTGATATAAGTTGACTCGGTCATGGAGATATCACCCACTGCTGACTGCTCTTTAATTTATCCTTTTTGCTGCTTGTATGATCATCACAGGTACCTAAAGGTTGGGACAAGCTATTTATATCTGTCGTCTCAGAGCAAACCGGGAAGACAATTGTCAGGTCAAGCAAAGCATCTGTTCGTAATGGAGGTTGCCAATGGACTGAATCTCTATCAGAGTCCATTTGGGTTTCACAGGACGAAATTTCAAAGGAGTTTGAAGATTGTAATTTCAAGCTTGTTGTGGCCATGGTATTGCCTGACCTATGTTGTTTTCGTAACAATCTTTTGTTTCAACTTTAGCTGCTATTCTGTAATTTCAAGCATTTAAATTGAATCTACAATCACAGGGATCAGCAAGATCTAATATTCTTGGTGAGGCTATGGTCAACATGACAAATTACATAGATTCTAAATCTTCTTCTGCTGTCTCACTTCCATTGAAAAAGTGCAATCATGGGACTAATTTACAAGTAAGCTCCATAATTTGAACATTCATACAGGATGTAAACATTCGTGAAATCAATACTGGGAATCAAATTTTACGATTCGTTCTCAGTATAGAACTAATAATATCTGAAGCTATTGATCATATTCCACAATTTTCCGTCTTGTTTGCAGGTAAAAATTCAGTGCCTAACTCCAATTACAAAAGTGAGGAGGTCTGTATGATGGGATGGCTTTATTAATTGTTGTTAATACTGAATTATATGGCTAGCCTTTAAGATTCGTGAACAATTTTCAGGAGTGGAGAATTGAAACAGACAAATTCTTCAAAAGAAAACTTGAAGAAGGAAGGTCATGACTCAGATAGCTGCTCAGATATAACCGATAGCCAATTGTCGAGGAGTATTGGATCTTCCTCTGGTGCAGATTTATACTCTAGCTTACACTCCGGAGAGGGTAGCAGCAAGGTAAGATCGTATTTTCCATCACAATTTTTCTATCATCATGTTTGGTGCCCCTACTATGTTGAGCTCTGTTGCTTGTTTGATTGAGTTTCTGATAATGTTTGGCTTTGATCATGGTTTTAGATTACCATTTTCATTCTTGAGATGTTGATTTTAGATTACCATGTTCCTCATCTAGACCATGGTACCATGCAGATTCATTAACCGATCAACATATTTTTCGAACATTTCACAAAATTCACCTCACTAATTTTATTTTATTAGTTAGATTATGCAAGCAGATATAGTTTTCTTTGGGCTTTCGCTTTCGGACTTCCTCTCAGAAATGATTCGTGGATTATAACTAACATATTTATATATATTTTTTTGTATCTGTTTGTAGGAAGCAAGTTTCTCTGCTTCCTATTCACAACTGAGCAATGATTCATCTGAGGTTTATGAATCCGTAGAAAACGACGCTGCAAAAAACAATTATAGTGATATGCAAAGACAAGACTCCGTGAGCTCACAGAATAGTTTATCACCTAATTCTGTAATTACTGGTTCAGGTAATCACTCTCAAATTTTTTCTCTCAAGATTTTGCAATATCATCTTCAATAATGTCTCATCTTTCATGTTAAAACTTTTGGGAAGCAGCGGAGGCAACGACTGTTCTGGAACTTCGTGCTGAAGCTAAGTTGTGGGAGAAAAATGCCCACAAACTGATGGCTGATCTTGATCAGTTGAAGAAAGAGTTTTCAGATCAATCCCAACACCAGGAAAGTTTAAATTCTGCACTTTCAGCAGCAAATGCAGAATGTGATGGTTTGAGAAAAGAACTTGAGCAACTGAAACTGGTGACTGAGAACTCAACACAGAGACAAACAATCATTGAGGATTTTTCATATCAAAATAATGAACCACTCATCCTAAACGAATTGAAAGATGAACTGAAGTTCCTGAAAGAAACTAATGCTGATTTAGCCGAGCAGCTAAAGAGAAGCCAAGAATCAAATATTGAGCTTGTGTCCGTCCTTCAGGAGCTAGAAGAAACTACCGAAAAGCAGAGACTGGAAATTGGGGAACTTTTGGCACGTCACAGAAAAGATAATGATATTGAAAATATTATTCAAGAAAACAAGGAATTGATGCTTCAGTTAGAACGTGTGAAAGAATCAGAGAAGAATCTTCAATTGAAGGTAGGGCTACTAGAGAGAAACTTGGAGGAAACAAATTTGAGAAACTTGGAGGAAACAAATTTTGATTTAGAGAAATGCAAGGTCTCAAACCAACGATTCCCTCAGGATATAGACAAGGAATCCGATGGTAAGCTACATTCTGAGGAGGAACTACGGTCTTTACAATCTGTAAACACAAATCTAGTGAAGGAAATTGAAATGTTGAAGGAAAAAGTGCAGGAGCTAGAAAAGGACTGTAATGAGTTGACGGATGAGAACATAGATCTCTTGTACAAGCTTAAGCAAGCAAATAACGATGCTAAGGGAGGAGGTTTGCCTTTTAACTCCTCAGGTGGTAAGCCTTTATCTAATTCCTTTGTTAATTTTGGATTCGATACAATGAAACACAAAAATTCTACACAAAATCTCGAGGTAAGTCCTGAAGGGATTGAGAATAACGATAGTTCTTTCAATCAAAAGCTAGAGAGTGCGAAATTTGAACTGGAAGTCAAAGTTGAAGAGCTCAGTAGGGAATTGACTGAGAAACAGCTGGAGATTGAAAAACTTGAATCCAGCATTTTGTCCAAAGAAGACGAGATTAAGATCCTCGGAGATTTGCATACTGAATTGCAAGCTAAGTATGCAAATCTTCAAAAAGAAAAACATGAGATCGAGGAACAGATGGAAGTCATACTTGGAGAAAGCAATATCAGCTCTAAATGCATAAATGATTTGCGAAATGAAGTAAAGGAGCTTAGAAACAGTGTGGATTTGCATGACTCTGTAAAAAGTAAATGTTCAGAGCTTGAATGTGAAAAACGAGAATTTGAACTTCATGTATCTCAGATGGAACAAGAACGCATACAGTTGTCAGAACGCATATCTGTTTTGGAATCTCAACTAAAATATATGAAAGACGAGAAGGAGTCGGTTCGCCTTGAGTTAGAGAACTCTAAGTCTCGTGCTGTGGGTCTCCAAGATGAAGTTGATAGACTGAGACTCGAGATAGAGAAGGGAAGTGTTGATCTGAAACAAATGTTGAATGATGTGCAAAACCAGTGTGCAGAGGCTCAAGATCAATGTGAGTACCTGCAAAGAGAAAAAGATTTGGTTCAGAAATCAAATGGAGAGCTGAAGAAAAAGAATTTCGAGTTACATGAGCGTTATTTACGTTTGGAATCGAAATTGAAGGAGTCACTTGAAAGGTCTGCTCATTATTCCAAAAAAGTTGATGATTTGGAGCAGTATCTCTCTCTTGGATTGGAGGATTTCGCCTCAAAAGAAAGATTACTATCTTCGGAACTAAGTTCAATCGTTGAAGACAACATAAAATACAAAGAGAAATTTGCCATGTTTGAAAGCTTGTACAATGAGACATATTTAGAGAAGGCAACTGAAGCTCAAGAACTTCAAGGAGCAGTTGTGCACCTGACCAAGCAACTTTCATCTATGAAGAATGATCTCAACATCATGCAAATGGAATCTGATGAAAAGTTAACAGCTTTGATCAATGAGCTTTCCGTGTCAAAACAAAGCCAAGGAACACTGATAGTCGACCATGAAAAGTTACTGAAGCAGTTGGAAAATTACAAATCACTCGAAGTCAAACTAAAGAACTCTGTCAATGATCTTGAATTAAAGCTTTCTGTGTCTGAAAAAGAACGAAAGCAGCATGAGGAAGAACTAACTAACTTAAAGGTAAAAATGGCCCATTTTCAGGATGAGGTTTCTGAATCGAGGAACAAGCTCGAACAAAAGATTATCGATGAATTAGAGGAGAGCAAACAGAGCGAAGTTGCCTTAAAAGAAAATGTTCTGAGAATAGGGAGTGAATCAGTAGTGAAAGAGGCATCATTTACTGGGAATGACGATTTAAGCAATGAGCTCTACCAGATTAAGAGAGTAAACAGTAAGTACCAACAGAAACCGAAAATACTGGATGAGAAAGATGAGTGCCTAAAAAGATGCCAATACCTTGAAGCAGAACTGAGACAATTAAAGGAGGAAAAACGGATCCAGCGGGAGTCTAGCAGTGTAAAGGTTCACGGTCTTTCCAAAACCAACGGCAAAAACACGAAGCTTCTAATAGTCAGTCTCTTTTACTATTCATTTAAATGTTGATTTTGACTTCCAAACTGCTTAAAAGAATTCTGAGTGCTAATTGTTTGAATATAACAGAATGATGCGGTAAAGACCGTTGGTCAGAATCTTAGTGGCAAGAAGAAGCCTGCTTCAAAGACCAGCCAATCACATGAACAAGTGAAAGATCGTAAGGACTTTAACAGCAATCAATCTCATTCTCAAGTTAAGGTAGAAAATGCTGGTGTTTTAATCTGTCCCGATATAGTTTACAAGGATGCCTTTGTAACTTGTTAATTTCTTGTCTCTACAGGATGATAGTGAATATGATATTCCTGAAGCTGAATCTGTTTCAAGAATTCAGTTGCTCGAAAAGGAACTTGCTGAGGCTTTGGGAGCAAACAAGAAATATGAAGATCAGCTGAGCAGGTACGTTCATATTTGTTACAGAACAACAAAAACTTTTTTACTTGAGCGAGTGGAATCTACTAAATTATTCATGATTGGCTGATCATCAGGTCTAGCATATGTTGAGCCAAAACTGCATTAGAAATTTATGGCTATCCTACAGTACTTTCGACTGAAGTTTCACATAAGCCTGGAAAACAAATTTGCCTCCTTTCACTTTCAAATGCCGTACACGTTATTCATTGTACAAGGACCTTAATTTTCATAGCTTTATATGTCTCCCTCAATCTGAATTTTCCCATATCTCTTCGCACTATTTTCAGGCTTGTTTCAGACAATCAAAACAACAAAGAAAATTCTCCCATATCATTAGTTGAAGGTGATGCAGTGGCAAAGGAAAGATACGAAAGCATAAACTCAGCTCTCGAGGCAGAGTTAAGAGACATTCGTGAGCGGTACTTTCACATCAGCCTGAAGTACGCTGAAGTCGAGCAACAGCGTGAGGAACTTGTTATGAAGCTGAAAGCAACCAAGAGTGGGGGAAGGAGATGGTTCTCATGAAAGTCCAAAAAGTGCATGTTTTCTCTTTACTTTGTAAATGCACACCAGACTCGGACGCTTCTCTGAAGCCATTTTCAGTTCTCAAATCATGATTTCAATCAAGACTCGCAATTGAATCCTGCTGGAACACTGGTCTTAGTCTTAGGCTAACAGCAAGAGATTACTAACATGGAAGAGTGCATGGTTGTTTGAGAAGGGAGAGACGGAGAGTGTGATGATGACCAACCTGAAGTTGAAGAAATCAGACAGCTCTGCTCCCATTGTTTCAAACAAGTTATTTTGTATAAAGTAAGGCAATAATTTGAAACATACCAAACTCTAATTGTATTTTTGACTATCATGCCCCTATCTTTTTCGAAGAGCCATACATGACTACTCAACTCTCCTGAGTCGTTACCTTTTCTAGATTTTCCCTTCATATAATAGTCTGCATAGTGGTGATGGCGTGATTCATGTTGGAATTTGGAGAGAGAAATAATATGTAAAACATATTTGCATACTTCACTTGGAATCGAGTAATATATTCTTCTGTTGCTTCCTCAGGTATCCATTTGTCTTGCTAACCTCAGCAACTCTAACCAGTGATGACCGCAGCCTTCTCCAAGTGCCAGGCATTATGCCATAGAAACTGAAAATGAACTTTCTGGACAAACTACTATCTTACTGTAACAGCCTTAACAGCCTAAGCTCACCGCTCATCGTTATTGTTTTCTTCAGGTTTTCACTTCCAGGTTTTCTTTATGGTTTTAAAACGTATCTGCTAGGGAGAGATTTTTACACCCTTATAAAGAAGGTTTTGTTCACTCCCCTTATCCACTTAAATCTTTAGGAAGAGCCATGAACAGTAAACTCTTGAAGTGACCCAAGCCACTTAAATGATTTAGTTGATTTAATGTATATGGTGCATACTTGATCATTTTGCTGAAAATAATGTGAAATTTGGCAGGTTTGTAGGAATACCTCTGTTGGTAGGAGGAGCAAAAGCCTAATGAAGGCGTTGAGAGGAAAATGCAATCCAGAAAAGGAGCAAAAAGAAGGTGGTGTGGTCACACTTGGAACAGTTTAAGAATATGGTACGAGTATATCCCCTGGAAGATACTGAATTTGTTCGTGCTGCCTCCATTTATCACTTTTTTTTCTTCTTCATGTCCTGCTTTCTGCTCACGTTTCCTTTTTAACAAAAGAAAGTGGCCGCACACCGCTCTTGGTGTCACGTCAGTCTCTTGATTCCCTTTCTTCCCTGCCCTGCTAAGCTTCTATAACAACCAGTGCAGCTTCTTTATCAAACCCTCTTTACAACTGCACCCAACCCCACCACCAATTTGTCTCATGCCCCTCTCTGCGGCCACCCTAGCGGTGGCCAGCGGCTGTGGAGCTTCCATTTCAGGTGGAGATTGTGTGAAGTTTACAGTATTGTTTTTCCCCCATGCTCAACTAGTTGAGTCGTGGTAGTGAAGAGGAGATGATATAAAGGTTTCTTGAAAGTTTGTGTCTTCTTCAGTGGGGCCAGAGGAGATGTTTATGACTTCCTCTGTAAAGGGCAACTCCCATCCTTTGGCGTTCTCCAAATTCCCAGAAAAATCTCACTGTTCTTCGCTTCTCCTGATGTGGGCATCGAGGAAGTTCTGAACTTTTCGATTCAGTGACTCGGATTATGCACTAATGTTTTACTCTTGCTTTTCTTTGCTTTCTGATAATGCATCACTTGGTGGTTGCTTATATATATATATATCTATGGCATGCCCTCAGCCCCCCTGAGTTTTAAGAATGCATTGTACTTATCTCCCATCTCTCTGCGAGTGATTGGAAATCTCTGTCTTTCTCTATGGATTGTTGGAATTTTGAGATGAATAGTTTGAGTATAAGCTCCTTGCTTTCAGTTTTTTTTTTTTTTTTTTTTTTTTTTTT